GAATTTCACGGGGCACCTGAGGGCCCCAGGAGCGATTTCCCTGTGACTCCGTTTTCTTTCCCCTTCCCAACCAGGGCTCAATTCGGTGGCCACCGCCAGGATCTTTTATAAGCTGATGCTGCGGCTGGGCTTCCAGGAATTCTATATTCAAGGTGGTGACTGGGGGTCCCTGATCTGCACCAACATGGCCCAGCTGGTGCCCAGGTGAGGTCACTTTCAGGTGTGTACGCGTGTGTACAGCCTCTAAGAGTGGACCTCTGTGCCGGGCAGGCCACAGGCCACCCAGGGAGAGGAGGGAGGTCCCCTGTCCCTTGTCATCAGCTGTGCTTGGGGCTCATGGACTCGGATCCCCCGTTTGGTGTAACACGGGGTTGTGACTCTGGGCCAGGTGCCCACGCCGAGAGGCCAGTGCGAGGAGGCTAGGGATTAGACTTTTCTGATGGGCCAGGCTCTAGGAGAGACCTGACCGGAACTTTCTAGAAACCGTATTCCGCCCCACCCCACAATCTCCCTCCTCCAACTCCTGAGGCCGCCTCAGAGGGAGGGGCGCTGAGCGAGGCTGGCACCATGTTTGGCACCAGCCCACCTCACCTGGGCCCTCTCTCTGCCCTCAGCCACGTGAAAGGCCTGCACTTGAACGTGGCTTTTGTCTTAAATTTCTTCACCCTGACCCTTCTCCTGGGACGGCGTTTCGGGGGACTTTTTGGCTACACCGAGAGGGATATGGAGCTGATGTACCCCTTCAAGGAGAAATTCCTCTACAGCATAATGAGGGAGAGCGGCTACATGCACATCCAGTGCACCAAGCCCGACACCGTGGGTGAGCATACCTGGGGCAGCCTGCTCGGCCTTCCTTCTCTACTGGCGGGGGACACAGGGCAGGGGGACCTCAGCTCACAGGATGAAACCCCTTGTAAGGAACTCTGAACTCTTTTGATCTTTCAAGTGCCTTTTCCCATAGAAGCAAGTTTCTGAATGGTCATCAACGTCCCAGGCCAATCCAACAGCTCTGTCTAGGGCACGTTGGCCCCTGAGCCGGAGTCCTAGGCTAAGAAGCAGAGGGATGGAGCGGGTGGGGGCAGGAGGAAGCCTGGGGCTTGGCAGCTCCGGGGCTGCAGGGAAAGGGGACAGGTGCCCCAGAGCCCGGGGGCAGGTTCCTCGTAGCAGTGAGGGAGGGCCTGGCAATCATTTCTGCCACCAGGGTCCTGTTAAAGGATAATTACAAAATATATAAAATCATGATTCTCATATGAATATAAAATGAACAATTGTCCAATATTTTATTTAACTCATTAATTCAAAAAGGAACCAGTAAAATGTTAAAAAACAAAAACCGTTCGAAAACAATTAGGAACACTGAAAATAATTTGCTGATAGATGCAAAATTTGTTAAAATTCACAGTGATAATCAAATTGCCAGTGGACGAAATTAGTCGCTTCTCTGTGAGCAAGTATCATGCGTGTCACTGTCAGCTTTTTATAATCCGCAGAGCTGCCAAACAGCTCACAGTCCAGGGAAGGTGGGACCTGTACAGAATCAGTCATTCTGGAAGGGTCCACTAGGCGTAACTCCCCAGCCCCATGCAGGGACAGCCCGGGATCATTTTTCCCGTGTGGAAGGCTTCCGTGCTCACACGCTTGAGGCAGCTTGTGACCATTAAATTAACACTTTATAAAACCAAGTATTTTCACAACAAAGTGACTAGAGTGACCAATAAGTTAGGGTAGGCCGGGCGC